AGTATATTGCATATATCATTTAGAATATTCTTTGCTTTTGTTAAGTTTTTCACAATTTTGTTTTGAAAGACCTTCTGAATCCCAAATCATTGTAAGTTTGGTGCAATCACCAAAACTCTGTCTGGTAAATTGGAAGATTTACTGCTTAAGAGCACCCACCTATCCTATACAGAATGCATATAAATGTACCTTTCAAATTGTGTCAATGACTGCTTGTCTAAACCTGACTGGTGTTATAAATTATGGAATTATCTTTTCAGCTCATCCAATATGGCAMAAAATCACAAAGTAAGTAAAAAGATATTTTATGCATTGAAAACTATCTCATGAATTTATTTTAGTGCCTGCTCAATCCAGGTCAGTTGACTTTCGGGGGATWTATTTTTCAATTTAAAACAAGCCCTGTTTGAACTTAGTCGAAAAGAWAGACACACTAAGGTTGCTATGAGCTCATTAAGAACATGAACACACAGGGAGGTGTTATAAAAATCTTATCCACCAATTTAAACTTCATTTCTGGGCCAAACACCTCATAATAACGTACTCTACGTTATTATCACTAGCTCCTTGGGCTTTCAAAGAATGCTCTTCCTCTTTTCCAAGTTCAGCTAGTTAAACAGTTTCATTTTGATTATGATAATCCCTGATCAAGTGCAAGTCTTAAAGGCCAGGTTTACTAATATGATTAACTGGTGTACCTGAGAGTTGCACAATGATTTCAACTGACTTAAAAGTTATACAATTTATACAAGTTATACAATACAAGTTATACAATTTTTTTCATAATAATGAATTCTCAACATTACTATTAGAATTAACTTCCCAATTTTTTTAACAAGGATGATGAAAAAAACAGTGACAGTGATGATGATTACCTCTACTATCCAGTGTTTGCAACTCCATCATCAGGAGTGAACATTGGTGCCTCAACCTCTGGAATACAACCTTCTGCATCAGTGAGGAACACTAGAACCTCAACATCTACAATACAACCTTCTGCATCAGCAGTGAACACTAGAACCTCAACATCTACATTACAACCTCCAGCATCAGCAGTGAACACTAGAACCTCAACATCTACAATACAACCTTCTGCATCAGCAGTGAACACTAGAACCTCAACATCTACAATACAACCTCCAGCATCAGGAGTGAACATTGGTGCCTCAACATCTGCAATACAACCTCCAGCATCAGCAGTGAACATTGGTGCCTCAACATCTGCAATACAACCTTCTGCATCTGGAGTGAACACTAGAACCTCAACATCTACAATACAACCTTCAACATCAGCAGTGAACACTGGAGCGTCAAGAAAGGCTACTGATGTAACAGTAGCTGCTTCTTCCCAAGGTATACTTTCACACATGACAGTGTCCTTTTCAAAAGGAAAGATATAATTTTTTGAGCTGCTAAAGAAGCTTTCATAATTCCTCCAAATAAAATAATAAGATATGAGGCACAAAACTATGAAATTTAAAAGATACATCTCACCAATGTCATTGTTGAGATATGGGGCAATAATTTGTCACTGTGAAATGTTTGATCTTTGTAAAAAAATTGCTAGTGCTAAGTCCCATCCTGCTCAGTTTGCTTAGAGCGCTGAAGCTCCTTTGTGTAGAAAGATGCCAAATTTGGCTTGTGGATATTTGAGTCTTTTTTTTCACACAAAATGACATCCAAATTGAATGGGTTGCTGCCTCTTCTACAAAAACAAAGAAGACTATTCTTTTTTTAATACTATAAAACATTTCAGTTTTATTCTCAAATTATTAAGCATAGTACTAAGTACCATACTTTAGAAGACTATTCTTGTGAAAGGCTGAATCCTCCATTATGTCTAGAATAAAGAAAAATTTACAGTTGTTCTCATGAGTGCTCAC